ATTTTGAACAAACTCTTATCTGTTAAATCAATTAAGAATCAGAAAAATAAAAGTTTTACCTTTAATTATTCATTCTCTGCTGTTCTTCCTTTATGTAGTTTCTGAAACTATATAATTTTCCTTCCTCGGATGAATTTCTTTTTTTATTCATTGCAAGGCAGTTCTGGCAACCAATTCTCTCAATTTTTGTTTGACTGAGAAAGTCTTTATTTCTCCTTCCTGTCAAGGATATTTTCACAGGGCACAAAATTCTAGGTTTGCATTTTTTTTTCTCAACACTTAAATATTGTCCTATACTTTGCTTACTTGCGTGGTTCTTGGGGAGAAGTTTCATCTGGTTCTTTGCTCCTCTATAGGTAAAGTGTTTTATTTTCCCTCTATCTTCTTTCTCTATCTTTAATATTCTGAAGTTTGAATATGATAGGACTAGGAATTTTTTGGGGTGTGGGGCATTTGTCTTTCTTGGTGTTCTATAAGCTTCCTATTTCTATAATTTGATAGTAATTTGAAATTCACAATCATTACTGCTTTAAATGTTTATCCTGTTCCTTTGTTTCTTCTTCTCTAATATTCTAGTTATTCCTATTTGTGTCTCTTGCACTTGTCCCACCATGCTTAAACATTCTTTTCTAGTTTTTTTAGTCAGTCTTTTTCTTCCCTTTGTTTTCACTTTGTCAAAATTTCTATTGCCTCTATTGTGTCTCTCTTAGAATAGAATTTCTTTTCATTTTCTTTTCTTTCTCTCTTTTTTTTTTTAGACGGAGTCTCACTCCATCGCCCAGGCTGGAGTACAGTGGTGCAATCTCAGCTCACTACAACCTCCGCCTCCCAGGTTCAAGTGATTCTCCTGCTTCAGCCTTTAGAGTAGCTGGGACTACAGGTGCATGCCACCATGCACAGCTAATTTTTTGTATTTTTAGTAGAGATGGTGCTTCACCATGTTATCCAGGATGGTCTCGATCTCCTGATCTTGTGATCTCTGCCTCCCAAAGTGCTGGGATTTATAGGCGTGAGCCACCGTGCCCTAGAATTTCTGTTTCTGCTTACATTATGTATCCCTTCTTGCATGTTATCTGCTTACTTTATTAAAGCCCTTAGTATTTGGATTATAGATTTTTAAAATTCTTGAATTTAGAAGTCTAGCTTTCCTGTTATATTTGATTCTGCTTCTGATGCTTATTTGATTTCTTCACACTGTGATTTTTGCCTTTTAGTATGCCTTGTAAATTTTTGTTAAGAGGCAGACATAATATATTGAGTAAAATAAGCTGCATTAAATAGGCCTTTGGTATTATGGTGTAAGGTGTGGGGGCATAAAAGACCTTCTAGAGTCTTATCAGCAGATCTCCATCTTTTAGCAAGTCTGTGCCTCTGAGTCATGAGCTTCAGAAGTGCCCCTCAGGTTTCCTCCCACATTAATATTAACCAAGAGACTTAGAGGGAGCTGGAGCTGAGTATTTCCTTTTCCCACATGGAAGGCTAGAAACCCCTCGAGTTAAATATTCCCTTTTCCTGGGCTTGTTAGGCTCTGATTACATCCTAGTAGGTTAGGCTCTGAGAAAAGCAGAATGCTTTGAGGTATGTCAGAGTGGTTACCTTTTATTTCCCACTGCTGGAAACAAGAAGGTTTTTTTTTTTTTTTCTCAAATATTTATGGTGCCGACCTGATAGAGCTCCTGGAGGTGAAACTCCCAAAGCATGAGGGGTTCCCTACAACTAGGTATCCCTAGAGTTTTTAGCTCTCAGCTTTGCCCACATTGATTCTTCAGTAGTTTGTTAGTTATGGTTCTTACTTCAGTTCTGGTTTCTGAAGAGGCTTTTGCTTCAGTAAATTGTGATTTTCTGAATCTACCTATACCTTCAATTTGGGAGGAGTGGCTTGCCTTGTGATCCCACTTCTCTGACAGATCTAAGAAGAGTTGTTCATTTATCAGTTTGCCTAGGTTTTTACTTGTTTGTAAGACAGAGTGATGACTTCTAAGTTCCTTATATGCTGCACCAGAAACCAGAATTCTCTTCTATTTTTATTTCACTTTAATAAGAGGTAGAGTAGTAACTCAAGTTCCTATATTATCATATTTAAGGGAAACACATTCTGTCAGCTTTTCTGCTTATTGGTCAGATGCTTTTATTTATTCATTCAAGCAAGAAATATGGGTTGAGCACCTACCGTATATGCCAAGCATTTTTCTAAGAGCTGTGGAGTCATGATGTCAAAGCAACTTCCTTCTATATTCATCATAAGAGGTTTAATCCAAACATAGTGAAATAGCTTATTCATGTGTTAATTTTTTTTTGTTGTTGTTGTTGTTGTTTGAGACAGAGTCTCACTCTGTCGCCCAGGCTGGAGTGCAGTGGCACAATCTCAGCTCATTGCAACCTCTTCCTCCCAGGCTCAAGCAATTCTCCTGCCTCAGCCTCCCGAGTAGCTGGGATTACAGGCTTGTGCTATCACACCTGGCTAATTTTTTTGTATTTTTAGTAGAGATGGCATTTCACCATATTGGCCAGGGTGGTCTCAAACTTGTGACCTTATGATGCGCTCACCTCGGCCTCCCAAAGTGCTGAGATGACAGGCATGAGCCACTGTAACCGGCCCATGTGTTAATTTTTAAAAATATATGATTTCTACATTCAGATTAAGCCAATGCCTAGTGAAATACCTCATTCTATATGAATAAAAGCAAGTTATTAGGACAGTTTTGCAGTTGAAACTGACAGCAGTGATTGTTAAGTCTTAGCGATGCAGTGAGTAAACATAAGAATTATTATATTGGTATCATTACTAATTTAATACAATAAAGCTTATTATTAAAATGCATTTTATCTGCTACAAAATTATACCTTTGCTAGAACAGACATGTCTTTGCAATGACTGGCTGATGCTGAGTCTATGTGCTATAGACCTAAGTCAAATTGGTTGGCATCTTCAGTAATTATTTTTCCATGCAGCATAATGACCCTGACCTCCAAGGCCTTCACCAGAAAGCTAAAGCCAGTTTTATTCCACCCCGATATTATTCCTCTAAGAATTATATTTTAACATTTTGCTTGGGTATTTTTTTCTGGCACTGTTTACGTTTAGTTTTTAATAATAAGTTTTAAATGCATTTTGAATTTAGTTACTATTTTTGTTTTGATACTACATCACGCTTGCTTGCTGTCTTGTGGTTTTCCTCATTCCACTACTGTTTGTTGATTTTTCTATTCTCATTGATATGTCTAGTCAATCAATGTTGATTCAATAAATAACTTGTTTTAGTTATACTTGGAGATATCAGAGCAGAAAGTTGTGCTCTTAAACATGTAGAAACACCATCGGGGCATTAAGAGATAGTATAATGTAATGCTTATATGCAAAGCTCTGGAACCAGACTCTCAAAGTTTGAATCATTATTCTTTGTAACTTAAGCTGGTGTGTGTGTTTGGCTTTCTGCATATAAAAATAAGATTTGTATTAAAATCCAGCTCATTAATTTCTTGGAAGAAATATGTTAAAATATATGAAGTGCTGAGAAAGGTGGCTAACCCATAGTAAATGCTATGTAAATGATTATTATTATACAGCTTCAAATTTAATTTTGTTTTCCTTAAGTTACTTTTTCTTTCCTTCTAATTTAACTTATATCTTGCATAGTCGTTTTCTGTGCCAAGACATTTAGTTAAAATATTATAGTTTTGTTAAGAAAGAGTGGTTTCTGTAGAAGTACTAGAAAACATTTTAGAATCTTGCAATGTCAGGAGTTGCTGGAGAGACCCTTTAAATATCACAGAACTTATTTTATCTTACAAGTTCAGAAAAAAATTCAAGTTATAGAAATCTGACTCTCATACAAAGAATTTGTGTTTTCTCCCAAACTATTCCTTGTGAGTGACTGTTATGTGATTCTACCTTCTCTCGTGTCTGAATAAAGTCAGCACTTAGTTCATGGCCAGGCATCCAATTAATTTTGTTGATAGACTGACTGCAATTTTCTCCAACACTGTGTACTTCAGTGATTTCTACCGGGTCATCCTATTAGGATCTCTGTGAGACTCTCAAATATGTTTTTCTCACCAGTGGATTTCCTTAAACACATTTGTGCCTTGAAAAACATTTTCTGTGCATTCTCTGACAGAGTATTTGCAAGAATAGGCTTTGAACTGAGGATAAAATCTAAGCGAGAAAGTTTGCAGAACAAAAATGCATTCTTAAGGAATTCTTGGGAGAGTTCAATTCTGTTACTTAACTATGTTTTTTTTGAAGGGCATATGGATGCCAAGATATGAAATAACCGGGAAGAATATTACTGAAGTGATGACAAACTTTTCCAGTAACAGCCAAAAGTGACACAACTTTCTTCCAAACCAAACTTTGCAATATTTTTAAAGGAAGGCTTGGTAACTTTGCAACATCTAAAAGAAAATGAGGCCGGGCGCGGTGGCTCAAGCCTGTAATCCCAGCACTTTGGGAGGCCGAGGCGGGTGGATCACGAGGTCAAGAGATCGAGACCATCCTGGTCAACACGGTGAGACCCCGTCTCTACTAAAACTACAAAAAATTAGCTGGGCATGGTGGCGTGTGCCTGTAATCCCAGCTACTCAGGAGGCTGAGGCAGGAGAATTGCCTGAACCCAGGAGGAGGAGGTTGCGGTGAGCCGAGATTGCGCCATTGCACTCCGGCCTGGGTAACAAGAGCGAAACTCCGTCTCAAAAAAAAAAAAAAAAAAAAAAAAAGAAAATGAGAAAGTAGAGATCCATCCTCCCTAGTGACTGATGACACTCCAGACACTGTGGAAGATTGAGAGCTATCTAGATAGGCAGTTTAAGGTGAGATGTCTCAGATGTGCAAGGAATGTTGAGGTGTCTGATAAAGAAAACACATTAAGACACTGATATGTAATTAGTACTTTAAAAATTAATGTTCTCCTTGTGTTCATTTACTTAGAAATAAGAAACATTCAAAATGATAACAGAACAAAAAGATTAAATCAAAACCATAATCTAGGATTAGAGTCATAATGTAATGAGATATTAGATGAAGAATATAAAAGTGCACTTAATTTTATAATAAAATTAAAAATTAACACAAGATTGTGCATTAGAGCTATTATCAATGACATTTATATATTTCTATTTATCATAAAATTGAGCTACTTGATATTAATTTCCACTTTCAAAGTGCACTTGAAAGAACCCTATCTATCTAACTCAGCTTTGAACATTTGAAGCATTTGAACATTAAAAAAAATTAATGACAACTAAACATTTTCAAAAGGCTTTGCATCCATATTATTTGAGGGGAAAAAATACAGCCTTGACTATGAACAGGCAGAAAATATTAAGTTTGTTCAAATTAGGTGAAATGGAATCTGAAAAACGAATTTCTTTATTACCATAATGACTGGTTTCTGCTGTTGCCAAAATGATGTAAAATTGGTCACATCTCACACCCTTGCTGGGTGTGGCTGAAGCAATAGATTCTTGGTCCCATATTTGTAGGAAATCGGTCAGGGTGATAGGAAAAATGATAGAAAAGATGCAGAACTACTTGGAAGGCTGGGAAGTTTTTGCATATCCTCGGGGGAGAATGAGCTGAAGGGGCTGTTCTTACCCTAAGGCAAAGGGAGAGGAGTAAGTACAAGGGAATGTAGGGGAGTTTATCTAAATGGCTTGTTTACTCACGTTGTCCCAAAATGGAACTTTCCTCATCTACACGCATGACTCCTCCCTGAAAAGGGGACAACAATGTTAATTACCCACAAATGGTGTTTGCTCCAGGCCTTAGTCATGAAATCTGTACTAAATAAATGCGAGCATCTCCCGTTTATTGAGGTCCCCTAGCACACTCACAGGCAAAATACCTGTGTCTGTGAACTCCTTTCGTCTGTAGCTCAGCCAGAGTCTGCAGGACAGACTCGGCACATATTCACTGAGCAGGGTACGTCTCCTGATATAGGTGTCTCTCACAGGCTGAGACAGTGACAGAAGACTTTTCCTGGAATCATAGGGAAAAACGTGGATTCTCTGTAGCTGCCCAGCTCTACCTAGCTATCAGTCTACAGGACCCATGAAGCAACATCATGCCCAGAAAGGTAAAAAAGTATAGAATGTTGAACTTCACAGCTTTTTAATTTTGAGAATTATATTTGGCTTGATATAACTCTAATTCTTTTGAATTTGTGTCATCATCTTAATATAGTGAACATAACACACACACAAACACACACACACACACACACACACACACACCCCTATTTGGTTTATATATTCTCTTAATCTCTATTCTATTAAAGTATTGATCAAAACCTATTTTGTCTTTTCCTACTAATTTATACAATTGTTTTGATTTATTTTTGCCTTTTTATGCAGTCTAGTCAATTCTCTTTTATAAATTTGATTTTGCTTCATCTTGTCTATTTTTATTCTGGTTTCTCATTTGCTTTTTTATGTGTTGGTATCTTTTCTCATTTTACTTCATTTTTTAAAATTACAAGTGAATGTGTTATACCTCCCTCCCATTTAAAATATTATTACTCTCCTAGATTTTTAAATCATAGGCAGGAATCATGGTCTATGCTATAAAGTGGATGCTATAAAGTTAATTCATGCCCCAGAAAGGGAGACTAATGATTTTTGTCTATGTCTTTCTGGCCTTTTAAACATGACTGACCTTTGACTCAGTTTAAATTGGGAAAAAAAGGTTTGCACGTCAGTTAAATAATAAAACTGTGAGCCTCGCTTATAAAAGTATTCAACTCAATTTTAGGATTCAAATTATCACACATATGTAAATTAAGGCCTTGCTTTCTATATTACTGGTAGTGAAATTTTCTTATACATTCTGCTCAGTGGCTTTGTGCACTTCTATTGCCCTGTACTGAGGCTTGTTTGAACATGTTTTATATATATGAATTTTACTTTCACTTATTTATTTTAGAGTGGAAGGAGTAATGCACAGGATCAAGAGGAAAAATGGAGAAAATATCCTCTTCAGTCTTCAATAAACAAAGAGGAAAAAGAAAATTCACTAGCAAATCACATGTTTTCTTCCAACTGTAAAGTCAAATAACAGTTTCTTCCAATCAGTTGTCTTTGTCTTTTCATAATCAAGTCTTCAACTTCCATATGCCACATAGGAGAACAAGTTTGTTTGTGAGGCCACAGGGGAACTTGATGTCAACAGAAAAAAGATGTGAATAAAGCCCAAGGCAAACGTACAAATTAAAGGTGGAAACTACCTACCAAGAACTGAAACATAGTTGGGATTCAATGAGAATAAATGCAAAATTCACCCATTCATATATAATGATTTTTGCAGATGTTAGTTAATGATTTTCACTTCTGCATTTTCTGCAAGTCCTGGAATTCATCAGATCTGGAAGGAAACATTTCAACAGTTCCCAGACAATTTCTGGCCTACCCATATTCAGGAAGTTATGTGAGTCTCATGAGGAATCCTGTTCTTGTAACAGTTATGGTCCACTTTGCAAACTCTGCAGAGTTGAATTAGGGTCAGCAGCAACTACTATTTGTTGCCCAGTAAACACCAGACACGGTGTTAAGCACTTTACATATATCATGCCATCTATGTCTGATGACAATCCTATCAAGTAGACAGTATTATCCCCATTTTATAATGAGAACCCTACAGCTCAATTCTCTTACCTCAAGATCACACAGCTAGTAGGTGGCAGAGCTGGGACTGGAATCCAGGTCTTAAAGACTATATTCTTAACCCCAGGTCTTAAAGACTATATTCTTAACTGTCAATTAATATTGCTCCCCAACTTCCCAAATGTTTATGTAAACTCTATGAAGAGCAGGCATTTAAAATTGCATTGCTAAATATTTTCAAGTTAACCTTGAATTGCTTGGGAGATGAGCAGATATAACATAGTTTGGCTGTGTCCTCACTCAGATCTCATCTTGAATGGTACTCCCATAATTCCCACATGTTGTGGGAAGGACCTGGTGGGAGATAATTGAATCATGGGGATGGTTTCCCCCATACTGTTCTTGTGGTAGTAAGTCTCATGAGATCTGATGATTTTTTAAGAGTTTTCCCCTTTTGCTTGGTTCGCATTCTCTCTTGCCTGCTGCCATGTAAGATGGCCTTCTGCCATGATTGTGAGGCCTCTGCATTCATGAGAAACTGTGTGTCCATTAAATCTCTTTTTCTTAATAAATTATCCAGTCTTGGGTATGTCTTTATCAGTAGTGTGAACATGGACTAACACAAGATACATTTGGAAAAAGTTCTTCAACATCATTATGGTCATTTTTGGCATTATTTTAGAGTCAGTGATAAATGGTATCATTTTAAGATCTATGGGCAAGGACAGTGTAGAAGCCATAGCTACTAACTGCAAGGGATATAAAATACCAAGTTAGAAAGTGAAAAATTCCAATCTGTAAGAGTTACACACAGTGAAACATATATTAAAATTGTACGAATCACAAGAGGCTAAACATACATAAGCATAACTTTTCTTCAGGGTTCACAGCTTGCCTTGAATTAAGCATTTTTAAAGTTCTCTCTTTCCTTGACTTTTCCCCCTACCCTCTCGTTAACAGTCTCTTTCTTTCTACCTTAATTAAAATTGCTACAGAAAGAATTCTTAAACAAAAATTTTAAATGTTAGGATATTTTCGTTTAAAATTCCTAAATCCATAAATAGAGTCAAAACATTTTCTTTCTTTTTTTTTTTAATTGCATTTTAAGTTTTGGAGTACATGTGAAGAACATGCAAGATTGTTGCATAGATACACACATGGCAGCATGATTTGCTGCCTTCCTCCCCTTCACCTATACCTGGCATTTCTCCCCATGCTATCTCTCCCTAACTCCCCACCCCCCGCTGTCCTACCCCTATTTCCCCTGAACAGAAATAGGGGAAATTTCTGTGTGTGATGCTCCCCTCCCTGTGTCCATGTGTTCTCATTGTTAAACACCCGCTATGAATGAGAATATGTGGTGTTTGATTTTCGGAGTCAAAACATTTTCTGTGTAAAATCTTAGATTCAAGGGCAGGGTAGGAGATTCTTCTGTTAGCCTCCAGTTTTCAGATACAAAATTCTAGCAATTTCTTTTTTATATCTCTAAAATAAGAAAACATCTCTTTTATTTAGGATCTTATTTCTTCTAATCTGTGCATTATTTCCAATTTTGCTCACTCATCCTGCAGGTCAAATATCCTTCTACAAATTCATTCCTTTGTTCTCATACTGTTGATGTCTATATGGAATGGCTTTCACTTGTCTTCTGTTGGAGAGTTGACCTTGGAGGCCACTTGGCAAGTAGCACAGTTCTTGTTTGTTTGTTTGTTTGTTTGCTTGTTTTTGAGACAGAGTCTTGCTCTGCCGCCCAGGCTGGAGTGCAGCGGCATGATTTCAGCTCAAGGCAACCTCTGCCTCCTGGGCTCAAGTTATTCTTCTGCCTCAACCTCCTGAGTAGCTGGGATTACAGGTGTGTGCCACTACACTTGCCTAATTTTTGTATTTTTTGTAGAGACAGGGTTTCGCCATGTTGGTCAAGCTGATCTCAAACTCCTGAGTTCAGGTGATCTGCCTGCCTTGATCCCAAAGTCCTGGGATTACAGGCGTTAGCCACCATGCCTAGCCTAGCACAGTTCATTTTTGTTCAGAAATCATTTATCGAGGTGTTTCTATGTGCCAGGCAGTGTGTTTGGTGTTGGGGGTATAATAGCTAAAAAGACATGACCTCTGTCATAGGGGTACTCACAGGTCAGTGGATGAACTTTTCCTGCTTGACTAACTTATTTTCTGGTTCCCACACTCCCTCCAAACTAAACCTTTCTTTCTTTTGCCACTTAGATTCAGTTATCCCTTGTTCAGCTCAGAGACATTAGCTGAGAGCAATGTCTGAATACTTTGGAGTTTCCTCTATCATGTCCCTCGGAAATGGGGTGATATGGTTTGGCCCTCTGTACCCACTCAAATCTCATGTTGAATTTCCAGTATTGGGTGAGGGACCTGGTAGGAGGTGATTGCATCATGTGGGTGGAGTTCCCCCTTGCTGTTCTTGTGATAGTGAGTTGTCACAAGATCTGATTGTTTAAAAGTGTGTGGTACTTCCTTCTTCTTCTTCTTCTTCTTCTTCTTCTTCTTCTTCTTCTTTTCTTTCTTCTTCTTCTTCTTCTTCTTCTTCTTCTTCTTCTTCTTCTTCTTCTTCTTCCTCTTCTTCCTCTTCCTTCTTCTTCTTCTTCTTCTCTTCTTCTTTCTTCTTCTTCTTCTTCTTCTTCTTCTTCTTCTTCTCCTTCTCCTTCTCCTTCTCCTTCTCCTTCTTCTTCTCTTCTTCTTCTTCTTCTTCTTCTTCTTCTTCTTCTT